CAATTTATTCTAAATAAACTTATTACCATCTTTAAACATAGAGCAGGGAGGCAGTGGATCATAGAGACTGTCACCAAGAAAAGACATAGCAGCGGAGTCTATTTTTTCCAGAAACACGGGGACCTGCCAGAAGAAACAGTGACAGGAGCTAAGGGCCTCTGAGTGGGAGACGGTGGCGAGCAGATCGGTACACGGGGACCTGCCAGAAGAAACAGTGACAGGAGCTAGCGGTCCTGTGAATGGGAGAGGGTGGTGAGCAGATGCTCTTGTCATTTTAATGACTTTCTGCTCCGGGGTTTTAGCTGGGCGATGTATGATGCTCGTGCTCATTAAAGTCAGTGTGATTCTTCCACCGTCCCGCGGCGGGCAGTCACTGATGTCACTGCGCAGTGACGGAGCCAAGTGACGGCTTCTCCTGAATTGCAAACGTTCATGATAGAGTTGCCTGGAGCCGCATCTAATACTTAATAGATGTAGGAATGTGTCATAAGCTCGCACGCAACCCAAAGGTTGTTTGAAGAAAGTCTTTTCCCCCCAACCTCAGATTTGCCGGATGAAATACAGGATTCCTGTTCCAGTTGGTTTCAGAGAAACGATGCTATTTCTAGGGTACACAGGTCCCATGCACAGTGTGGGCATCTGTACTTTTATTCACCAAACCTGACAACTTGCCGTGTCAAGGAAAAAGAAGGCCGTTTTCCTCACCCAGGTCTCAAGGCCCAGTGTGACTGCCGACTTCTCCAAGCTTCCCTCGATCCTCTCTCTCCCTTTGCTGAACCTTAGTTTGCTCAGCCCTGGGCCCCCCCTCTCAGTACATGGCAGCTACAGGAGGGACAGCACCAGGAGCTCCCAGGAGTCTTCCTGCACCCACAGGAGGGGCAGAGGGCCTGCTGGCAGCTCCTCCCAGCGCTGGCCATGAGCACAGCGCCTCCGCCAGGCGAGGGCCCCCTGTGTTTGCTAAAAGTGAAGTTGCAGCCTGAGTCCCAGCGAGGCCAGCCTTGCGCCTGCACGGTGGGAACCAGGGAGCACTGGACCATGCGCCGAAAATAAACGCCAGCACGTGCTTGAGTTCGAGTCTCGGTTTGAACTGCTAAACAGCAGACTGTGCCTGTGGTATGGTGGGAGGGGGGTGTGTGTGTCTCTGAAGCCCCCCAGGTGACAGCCTTTGTTCAGTTTATAATTTCAGAGCATGGACTCCATGCCGAATAGCACTGGGTGTGGGGTGCAGTGGGGTGCACAAGGCAGACCAGGTCCCTCCCTGCCTGCCTTCCTGCCCTTTACATGCTGAGGCAGGCGAGGCGGGGGGTAGGGGGAGTGCAGATGACAAACAGAGGAGCAGCCAGGATCCCATGAGACAGGGTGGAGTTAATCAGGATGAGGGGTGGGTAAGGGGAGGAGGTGGAAGGAGGTCGTGTTTGGGGGAGTTCTCAGAGGAAGTGGCAAGGCAGGAAGGAACCCAGAGACCCAGGCAAAGGGCAGGGCACGTGCAGAGGCCCTGTAGAAGGTCCGGGCTGTGTGGTGCACATGTGCACAGGCTGGGAGCCACTGGGAGAATGGCCTTGGCTTTCTGGGGATTCCTGAAGGTGAAGAGCAGCCAGTGCCAGCAGGGCGGAGCCACTGCTGCTGACTTCCTTCTGTCCTGGGTGGGTCCCTCTGGCACCTGCCTCAGCTCCTGCCCCCCTGAGACCTGGCAGCCACGCTGAGGCGCCAGCCAAAGCTGCCCCCTGACTGTGATTCCAGCTTATTCCCTGGGGCTCAGAGCACCCACCCCACAGGCTGTAAATTGGCTGAAAAACAGATCACCTCACCTCTTGCTCCCCGTGGCCTTGCCCAACAATCCCAGCCCTGCCTGCACCTCC